AATTATACAAAAATATATTGTCTAATTTCATTACCAATATATACACGGTGATTGTTAGATTCCTTATGTAATCTAGAAAAAAACGATTTTTTTAATGATGTGTTTATAAAAAAAATGAGACTAGAGAATATGGGCGGTTTATATAATAGTAGATATTTTTTTTTAACTATGTTGTGAATTGTAGTAAAATTAATCGTAAGAAGTGTTATATATATATATATATATATAAAGAAGTGTTATATATATAATTAAATTCATGGTATTGACTATGATGAGACCTTTTCGCCCGTAGTTATGCTGAAGTCCATCAGGATCCTACTTGCCATAGCCGCATATTACGACTATGAGATATCGCACATGGATGTCAAGACCGCGTTCTTAAAATCTCAAAAAGCTCTAATTATATAATATTAACGTTGTTTTCTAATTCACTGCTTTTCATGGGAGATTCTTTTACAACAATTCCATGTGATGTGTTACTTAAAGCACTTGTTCTGTCTGTATCTAGCCAACCACACACACATATATATATATATGTGTGTGTGTGTGTGTGTGTGTGTGATATGTGTAAATTGGATTGAATATTAGGGTGCAAATATTGGTAAGATTAATCATGCACATAGAAATCTCATTCTCAACCATTTATGTGATATATATAATTGGTCCTGACATTTAAATTTCATAATAGGCCCATCTCTCTATATATATATATATATATATATATTTGCTACACTATGAAAAAGAATTCACAAAATTGCGTAGAATGTTTAATATCGAGTTAGTGTTTGTGTTGATTGCCTATCAACAATATCATTTGATATACGAAGTATTCTATAGTACTCAACGGTCATCGTCGATTAATTGATACTACATGCTTGTAGAGTGGATGTACATAGATGCGTGTACGTATATATATACAAGCGTATATATACGTGCGTGTGTGTGCATAATTAAACCACTTTCCTCAAAAGATTCCTTAACGCAATCTCACCCGATGATACCTTTTCTTTGCAAAACTTACTCTAAATTCGCTAGTGTTTGCCCAACCTGTAGTTGGTCTGTCACAGCTGCACCGTATTCGCAAGCCATTTTTGAAAATTATTGATTTCGACAATCTTTTGATAACGACTTTTACACACATATATATATATATATAACATATATATGTGTGTATATATATTGTACCTAGCTATCCGATGCAATATATAGCTTTCTCATTGATCATAAGTTTCTTATGTTTGAAAGCAAGAGAGAAAAATCAAAATTGGCCAATATAATAATTTGCTAGTTTTGTTTTTTCCTTTTTTTTAAATAGTTTTGTTAATTTTCTCTCAATACATACTTCATATTTTCGTTTATCAGCACAAAAAAGATGCAATATATATCTGCGCTTCATCACAAAGTCACGGTATAACTTTGCTTCAGTTGTTTCTGGATTTGACTCTTTATTTTTGAAATGATGATATATATCATTTTTCTGTTTATTTGGCCTTTTTCGAATTCGATTCAAATGTTTTTTTATTACAAATATTTATCTTATTTATTCAATTTTTCGATTATTTTTATATTTAATTCAAGTGCTTAATATATATATATATAAAATCAGCCTAAAAGATACAATTAACACAACTCGTATAGATCATTAGTCCGTGTAAAAATCTAAGAAACCATGATTAAATGGTTTAACTTTTTTTTTTTTATAATCCGGAAGTTCACCGGGCCTTTGGTCCGACTACATCTCCCAGAAGATCGGGGCTTTCCCGGTCCGTTTTTTTTTATATTATATCTCCCTAATCCAAAATGGTCCATATGCATACAAAAGTGTAGATGGACTATAAATAAAGCTATTATGTATGTTAGTACATTGAACATGCACACACATATATATATATACATATATGTAGAGAGAGAGGGAGAGAGATAAAGGCCATGAGAAGAGTTAAAACAGGCGTGCTTACACCAACTGGGATTAGATACAAACGTAGCTTTCCAGCTTCATACATGTATCACCCACATTACTGCCACTGCTACATATGCATCATATCATAGAGAGAGACGATGATAATGATAATGATGATGATAATGGTGGTGACCATGATGGCTCATATATCGATAACCCCGAATCATGTTTGTAGATTAACAGATAGGAAATTGTAAGTTCATGACTTTAAAACAAGAGTTTAATATAGTTCATGGTCTTTTTGGATGAAAATTAGATGGAATTTCAAATTTTATAATAAGATCAAACGTGACACATTCGTTGAATTTTCTATACTGTGAAAATATGTAATTTTATATCTTTAGTTCAAAAGCATATATGCAATCTCAAATTTCAAAAGTAAAATAAGATAAAATATAAACATATACACAGACATTTGAAAGAATAGGTGTATTATGTGGGGGATGTAGAGGGTTTACTAAAACGGTGACGTTTGGTGGGTCGGGGCAGTGAGTAGCCAGTGTGGGGCTGAGCCTATGGCCGATGAATGGTCGGTCCCCTTTGCTCGAGTGTTTACTGCTTATTCCCTTCCAAATCCCTTTTATAAGACGCACGTGATATATTATTATTTAACTATATTGAAATATTATTAATTTAATTAATTAATTGGCTCGATCAATAATTCTATCATATATATACACACACACACGTACGTACGTGCATAACATGTCTAGTGCGTGCATGTAAGTCTATTACATATTCCCTAAATTATTTTAAGATGGTTTATATGCATTGCGTAAGCACGCATAAGAATTGTATAATCACTTCGAACTCAATATTTTTGTGAAGATTATAATACTATATATTAACGGTCCATCAATCTATCCGCCCGTTAAAGAAACCATTTATAAAGAAAACTTTGTATGCAAAACATTTCAAAGTTAGAGGATAATATAAATATATTCTTAAGGGATTTTAAAATCTCAAAAAGCTCTAATTATATAATATTAACGTTGTTTTCTAATTCACTGCTTTTCATGGGAGATTCTTTTACAACAATTCCATGTGATGTGTTACTTAAAGCACTTGTTCTGTCTGTATCTAGCCAACCACACACACATATATATATATATGTGTGTGTGTGTGTGTGTGTGTGTGATATGTGTAAATTGGATTGAATATTAGGGTGCAAATATTGGTAAGATTAATCATGCACATAGAAATCTCATTCTCAACCATTTATGTGATATATATAATTGGTCCTGACATTTAAATTTCATAATAGGCCCATCAGAAATATTAATGGGCTTGGACCGGCAATATAACGGAGGCCCAATTGTATCAAAAACAATACCAATAAGTACAACGATACCGGAGATAACCGACTGGTTTTCAAAATGAAAAAAACAGAGTTCGGATCCCATTTACATCGATGAAACTGAATTTGAGGAAGGGTTTGGATTCCGGTTCGCGCCTCACATAAACCTTATATCCCAAGCAAACCCACAATTCATTTCAAAAATTCAAAATCAATCTCTCCGTCTCTCTCTCTCTCATTCTCAGTCTCAGTTCAATCTCTGATTAACTCAGAATTTCTTCTACCAAAACGAAGATGATCGCTGCTTTCAAGTAAGTAATCGATCTCTATACTGTGATTCTTCTGCACCCATCGGTTTTGGTGTAGATTCCTCGTATGGCTTCCTGTGAATGTTAACTTCTCGTTGTTGATTTTTTGTATCGGTACTTTTTGTCGGCCGTTTCCGGTCATAGAGCTGAAGAAGCAAGCCAGATGCAGCTCGTTGAACGAGAAGAAATTGAGGATGACGAAGACTTATTTGAAGCTATTGATAAATGTAAGTTTCAATTTATCATTCGAATCTTATCGTTGGAGTCTGTAATAATAGTGTCTGGTGATTCTTCTTTAGATTTCATTTAGATCTTCATATTATGGTGGTGGGGATGGTCTTTCCTGTTTCCTCTTGATTTCCCGGGACTATTTCGTCTGCATTCCCTTGCTTGAGTATCCATTCGGATCTGGATTGGGTTTTGGCTATCAGCATGTTGTAGAAATCTCGATTAGATTTCACTGGTGAGATCGAGTATAATCGTTGAATTCTCCGAGCATAAAAATTTGTTGATATGAGGTAATTTATAGTAGTATCTGTAGACTTGTTCGATATTAGGCAGATTCATGTCTGTGATCGATTTTCTAATCTGGCATGGACTTTGCAGTTGTTTTCATCCCCTGATTTTTTTTTTATCCTCTGCCAGTAATCGCTCAAGGTATAAATGCCGGAGATGTTAAGAAACTTCAAGACGCCGGTATCTATACATGCAATGGCTTGATGATGCATACCAAAAAGGTATACACGAGTTTGCTTTTAGCATCATGCATTACAATTACATTCAGTACTATTCTGACTGCAGTTGGATGAAAAAACTATTGCGATTTGTGCAGAACCTCACTGGAATCAAAGGTTTATCGGAGGCCAAAGTTGACAAAATCTGTGAAGCAGCTGAGAAGATAGTGGTTAGCCTTCAGTGATCATTCCTGTCTTGCCTGCATGATTCATATCGTTTTCCTCTTGTCAATATTTTTCAACGTTTCTTCAATTGTCTCAACTTTTGTCCTACAGAATTTCGGTTATATGACTGGGAGTGATGCTCTGCTCAAGGTTGGACTCCATAATTTTACTTGCATTTTTTAAACCTGCAGTGCATTGTTGTCCTCATTCTCTTGCTTGTAATTATAATTTGATGCTTTCTTTTAACCTTTCACTTATAATTTTGAACCTAATAAGTTGCATTCGACAATTTTGTAGCGGAAGTCGGTGGTCCGGATCACTACAGGGAGCCAAGCTCTTGATGATCTCCTAGAAGGTAACACTGCATTCCAGTTTTACTGTTTGCCATCTTCATGCCCACATTCTGCAAGTGTTCTAAATTAAATTTCTTGGTAATGTCTGGGAAGGTGGAATCGAAACTTCAGCAATCACAGAAGCTTTTGGGGAGTTTAGGTGGGAATTTTCCTTGCCAATGAATAGCAAGCACATCTTCTGAAAGAGTTATGCAATCTGAATTTCCCTGTAGGTCTGGGAAAACACAACTGGCGCATACCCTCTGTGTCTCCACACAGGTTCTTCCATTTGCCCCCTCCTTTCCTGGACATGACTTAATGGTTAAACAAATAACCAATGAACAAGTATCATTCCTGTATTTGATGTTATGCAGCTTCCTACGAACATGAAAGGCGGGAATGGCAAGGTGGCTTACATTGACACCGAAGGAACTTTGTATCCTTGTATATGTTATCTACTGTGCGTATCTTGGGACAGAACATTGTATTGTCTTTCTGTAGCTATAATTCGTTAGTTTTGGCTTTAACCCCTGAATGTTATAGCCGACCAGATCGGATTGTCCCAATAGCAGAAAGATTTGGAATGGATCCGGGAGCTGTGCTTGACAATGTAAGGATCATATTCTCGTCTCATACCCCTCTAACATCAATATATACGTATCTTCACAACTCTATCTTCATGCGACAGATCATTTATGCCCGTGCTTATACCTACGAACATCAATACAACCTGCTTCTGGGGCTAGCGGCAAAAATGTCTGAAGAACCATTCAAGCTTCTAGTGAGAAACTTTCCTGCCTGCAACTCTTCTTTCGTTCCCCTTATACCACATTGCAACATAACGGATGAATTGGTTTTTGGCGGGGTTCGAATGTTCACAGATCGTTGACTCAGTCATTGCTCTATTCCGAGTGGATTTCACCGGAAGAGGCGAACTCGCCGAGCGACAGGTCCATATAACAATCAAATCCCCACCCTTTAACACTCTCATCAGCAAAGTCCAAACTAGCTAACAGAGCCTAGTTTGCGTTGCAGCAAAAACTAGCACAGATGCTTTCTCGGCTCATCAAAATCGCCGAGGAATTCAACGTCGCTGTCTACATGACCAACCAAGGTAACCCATGAATCATATATATACACACACACATACATGTATTTACAAGAGTTGGTTTGCAGTGATAGCCGATCCAGGAGGAGGAGTGTTCATATCGGATCCAAAGAAGCCAGCGGGAGGGCATGTGCTCGCTCACGCGGCCACGATCAGGCTAATGTTCAGGAAAGGCAAAGGCGAGCAACGTGTGTGTAAAGTGTTTGATGCTCCAAATCTCCCCGAGGCTGAAGCAATATCCTTTCACAAACTCAATACACACACACATATACACAGACAAGGAGACATTCCTTTTTTTCACATTTTTGGTTCACCAATGTGAATTTTCCTTAACAGAGTTTGGCACATTTTCCAGATAACCCCAGGAGGAGTTGCAGATGCAAAGGACTAAAACCGAAAGAACAGCTTTATATATATACACATATACATATATTCACTTATGCATCTACCTACTGTTTTTCTTCTTCTTGTTAGAGGCATGATGCATACATACAGCATGTCATCAGATTTCCTTTCTTACAAATTTTTTTAAAAAAATTTAAACTCTTGTTTTGGTGTCCCATCAGATGAACTCATGACACGTAAATGGATCTATGTCAAATCATAGGCAAAGACCAGACCACCATGGATCCGAATAAGTTTATTACTTAAGTTACTAAGATCTGCAACATAAAAAGTACACTGAAGCAGAAGAGATGTGTAACAAAAAAAGGCTTTTCTTTGTCTAAGTCTAGGGTTCAAAGGGGCAGAAGAACAAACCAGAGTTAGGGTGTTTTGTTTCAGACTCGGTTGTATGCAACAGACTTGCTGAAGAGCTTTCGGATGTAGAGAACCTGAAGGGCACTGGCTGCTGCCAGAAGAAGGTACTCTCCCACCGTGTAGAATATCACTCGCTTTCTCGTGCTCTCGTTGGCTGCACCCACCAAAAAGCCGATTACCATTTCGATCCCAAACGGGGGGAAGAAGAATAAGGAGGAGGAAAACAAGATTCGGGATATGAAATAAGGTGAGAATTATGTGGCAAAAAGATGAATGTGCAGGAGATTTCATCAAAGTTCGGAGAAGCTGAGAAAACATGCATGCTACTCTTATTTTGCATACTATGTTTACAGTAAAAAAACCGATGAAAGTCTGTAAAATTGATTTGAATGTGCAGAAGGGTATCAATGAAAATTTTAAGGGGTTAATACTGAATTACTAAACACGATGATCACACATCCAAAAGGACAAAACATGTAGATGCAGTCCATTAAATATTAATTTACCGCATTTCATCAACTTTTACATGCCACGGAAACAAGACAGGGATTACGAAGAGATAAGAAAGTTGGATTAAAGTATGCTAAGACGAATGGAGAAAGAAAGAATACTCACTGTGACGGTGTCGGGCATCACGTGCTTTCAGATATTTTTGCTCGGAAATAACAGATTCCAAAGCCTCTCTCAGCTCTGCGATCTTAACGTTTATCGGGTCCAAGTGTTCTGAAAACACACACAAATGAAAAGAGGAACATGGAATCAATCAGCTCATCCAAAATCTATGGGAAATTGGGAATTGTCTTTTAGAATTTCCAAATGGCAAACATAACAAAAAAAACACGAATCAAAGCAGCAATGAAATACAGAAGCAATATGTATGTAATTGTAATAAGGAAATGCTCGTTATAAAGGCTGGGACGGACCGTCTTTGGCTACGTCGTGTTCATTGGGAATATGACCGACGTGGATATAAAAGGAGACAGTTTCCGGTGTAGAGT